ACTAACCACTTTTACACTATATCTTCTTTATGGTTTGAATCATTGGGTCACTGTTCTAATTTTCAGGTACTTGATAGCAAACCACCCCATACTTAGTGTAAAACAACAATTTTTTTTTAATTGTGCTCACAGATTTTTTAAAAAAATATATTTTATAGATTTTTTTACAGAGAGGAAGAGAGAGGGATAGAGAGCTAGAAACGTCGATGAGAGAGAAACATCCACCAGCTGCCTCTTGCACACCCCCTACCGGGGATGTGCCCGCAACCAATGTACATGCCCATGACCGGAATTGAACCTGGGACCTTTCAGTCCGCAGACCAACGCTCCACCACTGAGCCAAACCGGTTTCGGCTGTGTTCACAGATTTGATGAGCTGGGAATTTGGACAGAACATGGTAGAACTGATTTGTCTTTGCTCCATGATGTCTGGGGCCTAAACTGGGAGATGAAAATAGCTTAGGTGACTACATTCGTGGCATTGACGGGAACACCTGACTCTCAGTGTGGCTTGATCTTCCTCACAGCATGGAAGCGGTATTCCAAGAGGAAGTGTCCCGGGAGGAAGCATCAGGAGAGAGGATATTCTGAGAGAACCAGGCAAAGCTGCATAGTTTTTATGACCCAATATCGGAAGTCACATAGCATCACATCTGCCAAATTCTGTTTGTTAAATCTGCTACCAGCCTCCTCAAATTTAAGGAAAGGGGACATCAATTCTCCCTCCCTTGGGAAGTGTGTCAAAGAGCCCATGGCCATTAGGAAAGAAATTGCCGCCCTCGCTGGTTTGGCTCAGACTGAAGGGTCCCAGGTTCTGATTCTGGTCAAGGGCACATGCCCGGGTTGCGGACTTGGTCCCCAGAAACGGGCTTGTAGGAGGCAGCCGATCAATGATTCTCATCATTGATGTTTCTATCTCCCTTCCTCAACATATTTTATTGATTTTTTACAGAGAGGAAGGGAGAGGAATAGAGAGAAACATCGATCAGCTGCCTCCTGCACACTCCCCACTGGGGATGTGCCCGAAACCAAGGTACATGCCCTTGACTGGAATCAAACCGGAGACCCCTGAGTCTGCAGGCTGACGCTCTCTCCACTGAGCCAAACCAGTCAGGGCAATAAAAATATATTTAATAAATAAAAATGGAAAAACAACTGCACAGTTAGTTATATGATTTTAAAATCTATTTTAAATAAGGCTTTGAGCTGCCTTTCCTGAGACCGTAGAGTGGGGGCAGCGAGGCACATGCTCACAGCTGCTGCGTCCCAGACTCTCAGGTCCTTCTGCTCTTTATCTCCCTGAGCCCGACCATCTCAGGGACACTGAGATAACTTGGCAGTTACAACTTAGAATTCTCTTTTATTTCTTTTCTTTACCTGGAACCAAGCCCTTTATGTAAATATTTACGTATGGATTTATTTGTTCCTCATGCTTTGTTCCAAAAAGGATTTGAGGGAGCTTATAAGAATTTATGCGGCATAACCATGTGACTAAAGTATATAAACCAAGGGGAAGGGGAAGGAAAGGCTGAAGTAGTAAGTTGAGACCAGAGGGGAAGTTAATTCTTAACAACATATACTGCAAAGGCTTAGGTAAATATTTGTCACTGCAGGGCTGGAAGGGGTTATATGTGCCATCGGATCCAGCTCCCCAACTGCCTCTTGAAATCCCCTTCCAACACCCTACCCCGTGTCCAGCCAGCCTCAGCCTGCACAACTCCCGTGATGAGCTCACTACATTGCTGGGCAATTCCAACCATTAGAAAGTATGGATGGACCAGGAGTCGTAAACGCAAATGCTTCCAGGGGTCAGGGAGGCAAGGAAAATGAACGAACCAGGTCGGTGTGGAGCTGGGGAGCATGTGGCAGAGTAAAACTCACACCCAGCCTAACAGGGGCACCTGCTCTCCTGCCAGGCAGTGATTGCCATGTGGGAACCCAGGTGGCCAAGTCTTTCTCAGAAGAGACTGGAAATCCCGTTTTATATGGAAAATTTCCTGCTTTTTTATTTTTATTTATTATCTATTTACTTATTTTTAATTTAATAAATCTTTATTGTTCAGGTTATTACAGCTGTTCCTCTTTTTCCCTCCCATAGCTTTGCTCCTTTTTTTATTTAAAAAAAAAATCTATTTTTTATTGATTTCAGAGAGGAAGGGAAAGGGAGAGAGAAAAAAAAAAATCAATGAGCTGAAACCTGTTTGGCTCAGTGGATAGAGCGTCGGTCTGCAGACTGAAAGGTCCAGGGTTCGATTCTGGTCAAGGGCATGTACCTTGGTTGCGGGCACGTCCCCAGTGGGAGGTATACAGGAGGCAGCTGGTTGATGTTTCCCTCTCATCGATGTTTCTGGTTCTCTATCTCTATCCTTTCCTCTCTGTAAAAAATCAATAAAATATATATATTAAAAAAAAAAACACATCGATGATGAGAATCATTGATCAACTGCGTTCTACATGCCCCACACCAGGACTGAGCCTGCAGCCTGGGCACGTGCCCTGACCAGGAGTGGAACTGTGACCTCCTGGTTCACAGGTTGACATTCAACGACTGAGCCATGATGGCTAGGGAATTGCTTTTTTTAAATGTTGGCAATTAATTCTCTTTTTTGATAAACATAGAAGGCCAAATAGAACACAACTGCCAGTAGATGCTGCTCATGGTCCACCAGTTTGTGAGCTCAGAAGATGCTAAAGTCACGGGCTTTGAAGTTGAGTTAGAACAGACTTGGACTCTGGCCCTGCTGCTTATGCATTGAGTAATTGTTTAGAGCCTCAGTTCTCCTCTGTGAAATGGGGATAATAATAGTTTTTATCTCTTAAAGAGGTAGCTATGTGATAGGTAAGGTAAGTTGTCAAGCACTTACCACAGTGCCTGGCACATAGGATGTACCAATAAATACAGTGCTATAAATAAAGGAATAATTTATAAATAATAAATAAATAAAGGACTAATGTTTATCAATAAATATGCAGTGCTAAATAAATGCAATAAATAAAATCTATCATGAGGGCTTCCATGCACTGAAGCCTTGCCTACAACTACAAAGGTAACTTTTGTTTTATTTTGTATTTTAGAGAGAGAGGAAGGGGGGGAGAGAGAGGGAGAGAGAGACAGAGAGAGAGAGAGAGGGAGACAACGATCACATGCACCCAACTGGGGGTGGAATCTGCATCCTGGGTATGTGCTCTGACGGGGAATCAAACCTGCCACCTACTGGTGTACAGGGCAATGTTCCAACCAGCTGAGCCACACTGGCCAGAGCCATGGAGATAACGTTTGATAAGAGTGGTTGAAGTACATTCCAAGGTTTGGGGGACCTTGTTTTTAATTGACAGAAGTACAGGTCACATTGTCAACTTAGGCACCAGAACACACAGCATTTTCCTTAGTTCAGAGCTGAGTCAAAAGAGCTGACAAAGGAAGTCTGCAGGATCCTGCTTTTGAGGAGGAAGTAGTGAGCAGATATGAACACAGATATGTCGTGCTTGTGAGGAGAGAGGGGTGCAGGGGAGAGAGCATCCCTGGCGGGGAGAACCCCTGGAACAAAGGCGCAGAGAGACTGGCAAGCTCATGGAGCCCGGCCAGAGAGAAAAGGGAAACACTGTACAGCCAGCAGCGAGGTGGGCCCCTGGCAGGAGGAGCCCCTGGCCTACTCCTCTGGGCGATGGGGGCTAGCAGAGTTGTGGACAGGCACAGGGAGTTTGTGTCCTCTCTGCATGAGTCTGGGAGCCTCCAGAGAGATGGGGAAGAGCCGAGGCCTCTTGTTTGTTTGTTTGCCGTGTCTTACTGCTTTGAGACACACCCACTAGTTGCAGGGGACTTGAGAGAGGTGAAGAGACTGTGCGGGGCACCTGACCGGACGCAGAGGTAAGAGTGTGGGCTCTGGATTCATGTAACGATGAGACATAATCGTGGCCAGTTTTCCCATCTCTAGGATGAGGATGATCATAGTACCTGCATCATCAGTGATTGTAAGGATCGATGTGCTTAACTCATTGTATGATAAGTACTCTGTAAATGTCCTTTCTGTTACTTTCGATAATTCTCTCTCATCGGTGTTTCTAACTCTCTATTCCTCTCCCTTCCTCTCTGTAAAAAAAAAAATCAATAAAATATATTTAAAAAAAAGAATTGTGAGATCATCCAGCAGGAGTCATGCCAAATTTGTGGATGAAAAACCTGAGACTCAGAGGGAAAGTGACTTGACAAGGCCCTTAGAATTGGCTGATATCGCAGGCGGTCTAGCGATGAGGGCAGCCTGGTCTGGCCTGGTGTGGTGGCAGTGACGATGGAGAAAGATGGATAAACAGGAGCAATATTTGAGAAGCAGACTAAGGGATATGCTGACGATATGCTGACTGACTGCATGTGGGGGTGAAGGAGAGGGAAGGGGAAAGAATGATTCCTAAATTTTTGGCTTGACTGACGACCAGGTGGACCCTAAATGGGATCTCAGTAGCAGCTTGAGATGCAGGTCAGGTGACTGATATGAATGCTCTTTAGGAAAGGTCAACCGGTGGGAGGGACCAAGGCAATGCGTCCCATTGTTGAGATGGGGAAACTGAGGCACCATGTACCAGCGGGTGGAGTCAAGCCACATTGCTCTCTTCTCACACTCCTTAGCTGGGTGAAAGACCAAGCGTGTTGGACATCTTTTTTAAAAAATATATATATTTTATTGATTTTTTACAGTGAGGAAGGGAGAGTGATAGAGAGCTAGAAACATCAATGAGAGAAACATCCATCAGCTGTCTCCTGCACACACCCCCGTGTGCCTGCAACCAAGGTACATGCCCTTGACCAGAATCGAACCTGGGACCTTTCAGTCCGCAGGCCGATGCTTTATCCACTGAGCCAAACCGGTAAGGCGGGCACCTACCTCACCAGGCGCCAATACCCAGCCCCGCCCCGCGCGGCCCGGCAGGCTCTCCCTGTCCGCCGGCCGGATACCAATAAAGTTATTGAAATTGACAGCGGTTGCTAAGGAAGTAGGTCGCGGAGCCGCGTTGCCAAGGAAGTGAGCGGCCGCCGTCTCTCCCCATCCGGGGCAGTGGGGAATGGCTGAGCCCGGGATTTGCCGCCGCCGCCGCCTGCTCTCGGCCGCCGCAGGTGAGCGGGGAGGAGCCGGGAGGAGCCGCCGCCGCGGGCCGGGCGGGGCCGCCGCCGCCGGGACCTTCGCGGAGGCCGCGCTGCGGCGCCGCCGCCGGCTCGGCACTCCCCGCGGGAGCATCCTCTGCCCTGCCTCCCGGGCATCCTCCGGCCGTTGGGTGGCCTCGCCCCTCCATCCATCCCTGGGCGGAGGTGTGGCCAGACCCCCAGATCCTGCAGCCAGCTGTTGGGGTCCGCTCCGGCGTTGGGCTGTGATGGGGACCCAGCGTCGCGGGGAGGCGGGGAAGCGAACTCCTGGGGTCCGCGCTCGGCGCTGCTCCCGCTCACCGTGTGACCTTGGACGAGTCCCCTTCCCCTCTGGCCTCAGTGGACCTGTTTGGCCAAGGGGGTCCCAACGTGTGCTGCTCAGAGGGACTAAGATGATGAGGCGTGCATGTTGAAAGTGCCCTAAACGAGGAGAGGGAGAATTCTTAAGGCGCCCTCACCTGCGGGCCAAGAATCCAGTTTGAAGTCTGAGTGTCTTTGAGTTTGAGACTGAATCTCCACTTAGTAATAATTGTGTGTAGCCTTGTCCTTTTCTTTCTCTGTAAAATGGGTTAATGAACCACGGTGGGAATCCAGAGTACCTCAAGCACCCTGGCACCACAGTCAGTGCTCAAACCCTCTTATGAGGCATGTGAGATAGTTTGGGCAAGGCTGCCGGGAAATGACTTTGAGGCAGGGAGGATTTAGATCTGTGGAGTGCCAGCTCATATGGATCTTCCTATCCCCAGTTTTACTTCTCCACTCTGTTCCCAGAAAGGGAGGTGGTGTGGACGTTGCAGGTAGCCCTGGCAAGGGAAGTCCGGGGTCAGGTCCTTGTAGACGGCCAAGATTTATGGGGCCTTACTTTCACCTTGGGTCTTGTTGACCCTTCCAGAAGAAAAAGGGTAGCTAACGTCTTTTGGGAAGTGCTTAACATGTAATACCTGTTTACAAGTATATGATGAAGCATTTTCAGTACACCATCTCATTTAATCTTCACATAGACTTTTCCAGGTAGGTGGTGATTTTTATCTCCATTTCACAAATGAGGAAACTGAGGCTCAGAAAAGGGAGTGACTTGCCTAAGAATCTCTTACCTGTTGAGTGATGGAACAGGACGCCCAGGTAAATCCTCTATTTTCTCCCCCCTACCCTGATGTCTCTGATTTCTCAGTGGTAGCTGTTACCAAGCCACAAGGGCGTTCTTTTGTTACTCTCACTGCTGTGTCTGCCAGTGGCAAAGAAATCAGATCTTCCATAAAGCTTCTCTTAAACGGATACGCTCCAAAGTGTGAACCTCCAAATGAGCTGGAATGTTTAAAAGAGGGCTTCTCTGACCCCCAGTCCCCTCCTCTTTAATGAGAGGAGCAGGCTAGATGATATCGGCAGGCCCTTTCAGTGCTGTTCTGCAATTCTGATTGCATGCTTGTGGCGTAAAAGCATGGCATCAGGCTGCCTGGGCTTAATTCTTGGCTCTGCCGCCTCCAGGCTCTGTGCCACTGAGCAGTTTACTTCACCTCTCTGTGCTGCAGTTTCCTCATCTGTAAAACGGGAATAATAACAGTATGCGCCATAGTGGGCTATTGTGAGGATATATTTGAGCCTAATACAGGCAAAATGCCTGGAAATTTTGGTAAACGTTAGCAATTGTTATTTAGGCTTAACATAACTCCTGTATATTCTAATTGATTGGTGAATAAAGCAGTCACTGTCACAATATTATATAAATATCAGCATGATGACAGGGTTGTCCCAGGAACCTGCAATCTCATTGTGACCTGACTCCACCTGCTGGTATCTGGTGCCTCGGTTTCCCCATCTTAACCTTCCTGGGTTGCAAAGGAAGATGAGAGTTGTTGATAGGATGCCATCATGGGTTGGTAGCTTGACTAGCAGTTCAGTAAATGTTTATTTAATCCCTCTATGCCAACCAGAGTGGAGGATGTGGAGATCAGACACATCTTCTTATTCCTCGAGGACCTCAGAGCTTAATTTATAAATGACTAGTTAGGAAGCAAGGTGAGAAATGACAGTGGCCTTCTAGGGCAAGTAAGTCAGTGGTTTTCAACCTTTCTAATGCCGCGACCCTTTAATACAGTTCCTCATGTTGTGGTGACCCCCAATCATGAAATTATTTTCGTTGCTACTTCATAACTAATTTTGCTACTGTAATGAACCGTAATATAAATATCAGTGTTTTCCAATGGTCTTAGGCGACCCACAGGTTGAGAACTGCTAAGACCATCAGAAAACAAATATTTACATTATGATTCATAACAGTAGCAAAATTATAGTTATGAAGTAGCAACAAAAATAATTTTATGGTTGGGGGTCACCACAACATGAGGAACTGTATTAAAGGGTTGCGGCATTAGGAAGGTTGAGAACCACTGGTGTAAGTGGATGGTTTTGGAGGTAGAACCAGCAGGAGGATGGTTGGGGGATGAGCTAAAGAAATCATGACTCCTGGGGTTTTGGCCTGAGCAATTAGGGAGGTGATGGTGGTGCCATCTGCCTCTAAAATGATGAAAGCACTATTTGGTAAAGTGCCCTGTGAGGAAGAATTAGCGATGATTCACTCCGAACCCCTTGGAGGAGATGCATAAGGTATAAACATATCTTTTAGTCTGTGGGGTGGAAATCCCAGATTTCATTGCAGGAGGACAGCCAGGTGCTTCTAACTGAAGGCTCCACCGTGGACATCCGTAAACCCTTCGTTTGAAGGCCGGCTCTTTGCCAGCTTGTGGAGTGGCAGGTACGGGCTTTGCCTGGGTCGTGTCCATCTGTCTCGTGCTTTGGCGTTGCTGTGCTAACTCGAGATCTTGGCTGATGAAGGCTGGAAGGAGGCTGGCCAGGTCTGGGAGAGCGAATCACAAGTGAAGCTCACTGTTCCTGCCAGAGTGGTTCTTTCCTTGGCATCGAATGACATTTCTTAAGTTTCAGAGCTCTTGATTTGAGAATACCTTGAAAAGCTGTTGTGTTCTGCCAGAATTCCTAGAGGATTTTTGAATGAAGCAAGGGAATTCAAGCTTCCTTTTCATAAATGGTAATACTTGCATGTGTAAATTTAGGGGTTACAGTGTTGGAAATTCAACATTGTGAATTTTAAGACTAATAATCTTACCACCTCCACTTGTATAGTTTTGTTTGCAGTTTAGAATGCTCTTTTGTCTGCATTTTCATTTACTAATGTTCAGTCAGTTGAGACCATGCAGGATATGTATTATCCTCAGTTAACAGATGAAGCATTGAGATGCTGAGAGATTATACGTTTTTTGTTTGTTTGTTTTTAAAGGCACCATTATTATTATTATTATTTTTTTTTTTTTTTTATTGATTTTTTACAGAGAGGAAGGGAGAGAGATAGAGAGCTAGTAACGTCGATGAGAAACATCGACCAGCCGCCTCCTGCATATCCCCCACTGGGGATGTGCCCTCAGCCAACGTACATGCCCTTAATCGGAATCGAACCCGGGACCTCTCAGTCCACAGACCAACGCTCTACCACTGAACCAAACCGGTTTTGGCGAGATTATACATTTTTATCAACAGTATTAAATACCTGCTAGGTGTTGGGTTAGGTAGATCCTTGCTGCTCAAAGTGTGTTCTGCATTAATGGCCTCAGAGAGCTTTTATTTTAAAAACTAGAGGCCCGGTACACAGGTCCTGGCCTGTGAGGATTGGGCTGAAACTGGCTCTCTGACATCCGCCGAGAGGTCCTGGATTGTGAGAGAGCGCGGCGGGCCAGGGGTCCCACCTGTGCACGATTGATTGATTGATCGATCGGGGAGGGAGGAACCACAAGAGGGCTCAGGGCATGTCTTACCAGTCTCGCCCAGTCCCTATTGGCTGGACCCCAGCAGCAAGCTAACCTATCAGTCAGAGCGTCTGCTCCCTGGTGGTCAGTGCACGTCATAGCAACTGATCCAAAGGTTGGACACAGCATATTAGGCTTTTATTATATAGGATAGGATATTTTTTAAAAATTGACTTTATAAAGAAGATGGGAGGAGGAGAGATTTATAGAAGCATCAATCAACTGTCTCCTACATGCCTCCTACTTGGGATCAAACCCTGACTAGAAATAGAACTGGTGCCCTCTTGGTGCATGGGACGATGCTCAACCAACTGAGCCATACCAGCCGGGCCCCTGAGAGCTTCTTTGAAACGCAGACTCTAAGCCTAGGTTAATAAATCAGTCTGCATTTTAGCAAGACCCGACCCCTCCGCTCCGAGTGTTTCCTGTGCATATTAAAGCTTGAGATGCACTCAACTGGTAGTAAGTAGCAAATCCAATGATAATGACAATAAAAGTAGTAGGAATAGCTGACGCTTATTGAGCCAAGCACTGTTCTAAGCACTTTACATATGTTGTCTCACTTAGTCCTCACAGCAACCCTCTGGATCCTATTGTGATTCCCACTTTCCGGAAGAGGAAAGTAGAGGCACAATGAAGTCAAATAATTTCCCCAGACCTGCTGACCCCGAGCGCATTGCTCTTTCTGCCACTCATTTGTTCATCTGTTTTTCGTGTGGGCAGTTCATTCCTGATGTTTTGTTAAAGGCCTTTCTCTTCTGTACCTGGGTAATGAACTTTAAATGCTGGTGAAAAAGTGGCTTCAAAGAATGAAAAACCAGGGGGAAAACCCTTGAGTTATTTCAGTGTAACTGTGGGTGTCAGTTACTTGACTGATAGGTAACAAACAGATATCCACTGTGTAAGATGGACTACCTCTCACACTTCTTAGCTTAGCGGTCTCACTCAGGGCAGAAACAGCTGAAGCAGGTAGGAACTGTGGGCTTGTCTTCTGAATCATTCAGTGCTAAACTGCTTTTTTTTATTCTGGCGATAATATCTACATTGGGTGAGAAGAGGGTGGCTAAAGTCCTATACCACCCTCTGACTAATTGCAAAAGATTCAATTTTATAGTGCCTTGCTTTTTCCTCTCTGCCCTGTGGACTCCTTTATTTTCCTTTCAACATCTCCTTATCTCCCCAAATTCTTAGAATTTCTTGATCAGGGCCTATGCCA